ATGTTTTAGTAGATGTAGGACTCTGAAAAAACTGAAAGGACTAGCATAATCAAACGAAATATAATTAAAATGTGGAAACTACAATGGCAAGGGAGCACTAAAGGCAGAGATGCCTACAACAACCTTAAAGAGCCCAGCCCTAACACACAGGTACGGGACAAACTGAAAATCCCAGCTAACAAACTTCTATGGAGAGCTAAGTTAGGGTAGCATCCAGAGGAATTTACATCTCCACTGTGTCTGGACTGCTTTCAAGATAATACAATAGAACATTATATAATAAACTGCACTAAATACAAATTGGAGAGGAAACCCATTGAGGAGTATTTTCTAAAACGCAAACAACAGATTACTGCAAACAAATGTTTAAAGGTGGATAGCAATAAAGGCATCCACAAACAGTACCTAATAAAAACAAACCAAAACTAAAAAGACTAGGTTAAGGATCAACTCAGGACAGCAGAAGGAACTGATCAGATTTTGACTCCGGACACCCTAGTGTAAGGGAGGTAGTGTAAGTATGATGAGTGCATAGTGTGAACATGGATGCATACACAAGGATGAGTGCGTGTAGTATGAGTGCATTTATGTATAGGATGGATAAACAAGACAAGCTATATGTAGGCGGATGGTAAGGGATCACGTATGGACAGGACAGTGGGAATATAGCTGTGCGAAAGGTACAGATGAACGAGTACATGTATATAGAAATATATTACTGTATGCATGTATATGCGGGTATGAGTGTGCATGTGTGTATATATATAATGGGAGCGCGTATATTTATATATGTGTGTGTGTATGAATGACAGAACACTCCAGGAACACATAAATTATGGTGTTGCATTGCTGTTAATTAATGAGAACAAATGGAATGAAGTGTGTACGCAGCAAGAACGTCATCAACACACACCATCCACCAGAACATGATAAGACAGTACCGGACATGTCACATACCAGTAACGGGACAGAACTTAAAAAGTGACACGACCAGACGATATTACAGACATAGCGACACAAAAACACACAAGACATGGAAGAGTGAATGTCATTCGTGTGGATGTGTTCGTTTTTTATGAATGTAAGAACAGGCACTGATAGACGCATATAAAAGAGTTTGCGTGTGTACGTAATGTCAGTTAGGTATGCATACACGGATAAGTATGAAAGGAAGTGCAAACATATAGTTTGTCTGCGTGTATGAATACTCGAGTGCATGTACGCAAACACCTAGTTGTGTAAGTCCATATACTCCGGGGATTCATACACAAAACCATCCCATTCCACAGCATGCATACAACATGCACATGGCCGGGAGGACTCACAAGAAATGATTGACAGCAAATAGGGAAAACAAGTGACTCGATAATGACAGGACCAGAACACATAACCACCAATACCACCCCATCACTGGGATGATAGCAAAGGTTGATAACGTGATACACATAGTCCCGGCAAACGGCCACGCTAGAATCCAGCAAGACGGCAACGACGAGAAATGACTGAATGGCCTCCCGCCCCCTTTCCCCTCACCCTTCCCTTACTCTTTCGGATGCACTATGAGTTTAACCCCCCTCCCCCCCCCCCCACACCCCAACCCATTCCCATAGAGACCACTTGAGTTCGTTACCCAACATGCCACAGCTATTATCATACCCGAACATTTGGATCTCAAAGCGTGAGCTGGATGCTCCGGTTATATGGTATTTACGTACACCGGAGCTTAGCTGTCAACACAACCCAATCACATAATAACAAATGACGACTGGACCCGCTTAAGGCGCCACACAACCTTTCACACACATATCCATTACATGACTAACCCGTTCATATTACAGGAAGACAACTATAAGACCACTATGGTCACATGCGGGAAATTTTCACATTTCAGAACTATTCAAATTCAAAAACTGTTTTCGGCACTTTTTGGCAAATTAAATACTCAAAATTTTAAAACAATAAACGGTGGTCCAAAGGACGTTGTGTATGGAAGCTCGCTCTCCTAGGAGACACGCCTAGCCAGATCAAAGGGAGGCAGGACAAACAGGAAACACTAAGAAAGAAGAAGAAAGACATGCACCAGTGACAACAGGTTGGAGGACGAGCGGTTTGATTCGGATGGAAGCATCAAGCCCAGAAATGGCACAAACACTAGAATTCAGTCACGAAAGTGACGCAAATAACCCAGACCACAAATATAGGCGGAGACTGCTGGCAGCCTCGGCTAGCTTGCAGCAGTCAGAACGTGGTCGAGCTTTTCTTTTTTTTTTTTTTTTTTTCTTTTTTTCTCAAAAGGACTCGGGCTCTTCAGCGATGAGAAGATAATAGGTGTTTCGTCCTTTTTAGGACGAAATTTTTTGTTATTAGAAGCTCCACCCTGGCTTTTGCCAGGGGCCGCAATATAGGCAGGCCATACATATTGCCAATTGTCTGAACGCGGTTTCTGGGACCTCTCCACGGCGATCTTCATCCGCATGGTGGCACTTTGTGTAATCGGGGGTTTATCGCTTGTGTGATGTCCTAGTGGGGTGGAAAGTCAGTCAGTCAGTCTTCAGCGATCTTTTTGACTTCTGGACTGAACCTGTGGGAACCTAACCTGGCTGCTGCTACTGTGCACAATGGGATAGGCCGTGGTCTGACTGATTTCGTGGTACGTTTCGTTGTTTAAGTTTGATGACTAGCAATTTAGATTCTGGTCGAGCACGTTGTTGTCGTTAATGGGTTATTCGTGAAGTATACGTTAATTCTGTGTTATGTTGAGTAAAATAAACAGGTGTTCAATGTAGTAATCATAGTTACAGTGGTTTCCGTTCAGCTTAAGACTTGTAGTTAGTGTACCTAGTTTAGTTTATTTGTTGCTTGGTTGATCTAGGCTTTACACAGAAGATTTCTTGTCAGGGTGAGATATTTCTGATCTCTCCCCCGCCTAAACGAACTTTTTCTCTTTTTTCTTCTTGTTACTGGGGCAACTTATGGTTGGGCTTGGCTCTTCTCTTTTCCGTTATTACAAGATACCCACTGTGTTTTGCTTCTAGTACGTTTGCATTGCTATTGCTCGGTGTTTCAGTATTGGTGAACGTTGATAGATACTACTGGCTGCTTGTTGGACTCTGTCTCTCCAGAAAAATGTAATGACGGGTCATTGTTTAAGTACATCGCAGAAAGCATTCTGTATTCTTTCAGGGTACCTTACTGAGAGCCAAGCCAAGAACGCGACACTGATCTACAACCCCGAAACGTCAACCATTGGCTACCACTGCGACGACCACCTGGGGATGCGCATGGACGACGGGGAGTATGTGTGTGGTGAGCTGAGCTGGGTTAACAAATTGCCCACTTCTGAGGCATTACAATAGCAACATGTACACACAAACGCAGCGGATACATCTACCAACTGTACACTCTCAATACTAGTCCTAGAAGGAAAACAAAACGCAAAATTGCATTTGAGATTAGATGTATAAGAGATACGGCATTATATACAAAAGGAGACAGATAGTCACCAAAGAAGAACTAAGAAGGCGGGGGGGCGTTAGTGCAGTTGATAGGAGACTCGCCTTGAAATCCAGCTGCAACTCGCTGTAGCCACGGCCGTTGTTCGAAACCGGGTTGTTCCCAAAATTCAACCAGCCTCTGGGAAATGGGTACCATCCATCCATTTATGGATGGTGCCATTTGTGGATGGCACATTCTGGGGTAAATGGAGGAACGTCGCTGTAGCTACGGAGTTGCGTGCGGACGGCGACACATGTGGACAGTTTCTTATCAGCTGTCCGTATTGGTGGCACAGCACTTATGGTTTATAACCGTGTACAATGACACTGGTTCACATCGCCCGACTTTACCTTTATAATACTAGGCACGGTATCAGTGAATTATTTCATAGAACATGAAAGAATTCCCTGGTTTTGTCACCGGTCAGAGCTGAACAAACATGAGCCAGCAGCTACTTGAGAGCAGACTGCAAGGAAAGAGGCTGACCGGAAATACATGGATGGATGGAGTAAAAGATACACCACAGACGTTGAGCGCATCGAGCACTTGTTTTGTAATGCGTTTAATTTTTGTTCCATGTTTCTAGTGATTTTCTAACTTTTAATGGCAATAATTACAAATTGAATTAACATTAGAATTGGAAATACGTAGCTTAGTTCTTAAACGATATATAGTTTTCAGTTCCACATTTTGTTAAGCTTTTACAAGTTGTTGTTGCTTTGCAAATAAAAGGAGGAAAAATAAAAGATCCCTTTACACCCTCTTAGGGCTTATGGGAAGAGCAACCATATTTTTACAGACTAATCGGCACTCGCTGGGTAATGTGGTCAGCATTACGCCGGCCGTTTTTACAAATGCGCACCATAATTTGTTTTTGTGTCACTCTTACTACTTTCTACTTACTACTGTTCTCTTACATTGATTCTTTCTGTCCCCAGAGTTTCATTTGCTTGATCTGTGATTAGAAGTTTGAGGTTTGAACAACGGATCAACATCATGGCACACGGGTAGTTACCCATAAGTGCTCCGTTCTTCTTCTAACTCAAGTCTGAGTCCGAAGAAATTGAGCACAAGCTCTGTAGCACCGTCGAGATTCCTGAGATACTTTGGGTAAATTTATAACTCCAAATTTTGTCCGGGCACCGCTGTTAGGCTACTCTTTTCGATTTCCAACTGCCAAGAAATTTATTACGTGCGCAACAGTGCACACGGGCGTCTGATCTCACTACCCAGAGACTGGGGGGAATTACTAGAAGTCCAAGTCCGCGTGAAAAATCCCAGCCCTTACCGTTGATTGAACCTGGCACCTCTAGCACTAGAGGCAGACTGCTGCCTTGAGACCACGCAGCTCCCCTGATTCGTTATTATCATTATTTAAATGTAAGGTATGTCGAACTGTCAGTGTGATATACGAATGTAATACGATCACTAGGGTACGATGTTCACAGATTTGTCAAACGTGGCTGTGCATTTTAGAATTTGTTGATGAGTCTTCATGTCCACAGTCGGCTGCGGGAAAGGCTTCTGGATGGACAAACACATGATGTGCCACCCCTGTGGGCCGGGCTACTACAACCCCTCAGAGACTGCAGTAACATGTCTTCCATGCCCGGTGCAGTACGAGAAAGGATTCATTTCAGCTGACAGCGTCAGTGAGTGCTTCCTGACACGACAAGACCAGCACAGTGGATGTAAGCCCAGGGTTTAGTGTCTGTGGATGGTCGTTATTGTCTGTGGATGGTTGCTAGTGTTTGTGGATGGTTGCTAGTGTTTGTGGATGGTTGCTAGTGTCTGTGGATGGTCGTTATTGTCTGTGGATGGTCGTTATTGTCTGTGGATGGTCGCTAGTGTCTGTAGATAGTCGTTATTGTCTGTGGATGGTCGCTAGTGTCTGTGGATGGTCGCTAGTGTCTGTCTGTAAATGTTCGCTAGTGTCTGTGGATGGTCGCTAGTGTCTGTGGATAGTCGCTAGTGTCTGTGGATGGTCGCTAGTGTCTGTGGATAGTCGTTATTGTCTGTGGATGGTCGCTAGTGTCTGTAGATGGTCGCTAGTGTCTGTAGATGGTCGCTAGTGTCTGTAGATGGTCGCTAGTGTCTGTAGATGGTCGTTAGCATCCGTGGATGGTCGCTAGTGTCTGTGGATGGTCGCTAGTGTCTGTAGATGGTCGCTAGTGTCTGTAGATGGTCGCTAGTGTCTGTAGATGGTCGCTAGTGTCTGTAGATAGTCGCTAGTGTCTGTAGATTGTCGCTAGTGTCTGTGGATGGTCGCTAGTGTCTGTCTGTAAATGTTCGCTAGTGTCTGTGGATGGTCGCTAGTGTCTGTGGATAGTCGCTAGTGTCTGTGGATGGTCGCTAGTGTCTGTGGATAGTCGTTATTGTCTGTGGATAGTCGCTAGTGTCTGTAGATGGTCGCTAGTGTCTGTAGATGGTCGCTAGTGTCTGTAGATGGTCGCTAGTGTCTGTAGATGGTCGCTAGTGTCTGTGAATGGTCGCTAGTGTCTGTGGATGGTCGCTAGTGTCTGTAGATGGTCGCTAGTGTCTGTAGATGGTCGCTAGTGTCTGTAGATGGTCGCTAGTGTCTGTAGATTGTCGCTAGTGTCTGTGGATGGTCGCTAGTGTCTGTAGATGGTCGCTAGTGTCTGTGGATGGTCGCTAGTGTCTGTGGATGGTCGCTAGTGTCTGTGGATGGTCGTTGGTGTCTGTGGATGGTCGCTAGTGTCTGTAGATGGTCGCTAGTGTCTGTAGATGGTCGCTAGTGTCTGTAGATTGTCGCTAGTGTCTGTGGATGGTCGCTAGTGTCTGTAGATGGTCGCTAGTGTCTGTGGATGGTCGCTAGTGTCTGTAGATGGTCGTTGGTGTCTGTGGATGGTCGCTAGTGTCTGTAGATGGTCGCTAGTGTCTGTAGATGGTCGCTAGTGTCTGTGGATGGTCGCTAGTGTCTGTCTGTAGATGGTCGCTAGTGTCTGTAGATAGTCGCTAGTGACTGTAGATGGTCGCTAGTGTCTGTAGATGGTCGCTAGTGTCTGTGGATGGTCGCTAGTGTCTGTAGATGGTCGCTAGTGTCTGTAGATGGTCGCTAGTGTCTGTGGATGGTCGTTAGCATCCGTGGATGGTCGCTAGTGTCTGTGGATGGTCGCTAGTGTCTGTGGATGGTCGTTAGTGTCGGTGGATGGTCGTTAGTGTCTGTAGATGGTTGATAGTGTCTGTGGATGGTCGCTAGTGTCTGTGGATGGTCGCTAGTGTCTGTGGATGGTCGCTAGTGTCTGTGGATGGTCGCTAGTGTCTGTAGATTGTCGCTAGTGTCTGTGGATGGTCGCTAGTGTCTGTGGATGGTCGTTGGTGTCTGTGGATGGTCGCTAGTGTCTGTAGATGGTCGCTAGTGTCTGTAGATGGTCGCTAGTGTCTGTGGATGGTCGTTAGTGTCCGTGGATGGTCGCTAGTGTCTGTAGATGGTCGCTAGTGTCTGTGGATGGTCGTTAGTGTCGGTGGATGGTCGTTGGTGCCTGTAGATGGTTGATAGTGTCTGTGGATGGTCGCTAGTGTCTGTGGATGGTCGCTAGTGTCTGTGGATGGTCGCTAGTATCTGTGGATGGTCGCTAGTGTCTGTGGATGGTCGCTAGTGTCTGTAGATTGTCGCTAGTGTCTGTGGATGGTCGCTAGTGTCTGTGGATGGTCGCAAGTGTCTGTGGATGGTCGCTAGTGTCTGTGGATGGTCGCTAGTGTCTGTGGATGGTCGGTAGTGTCTGTAGATGGTCGCTAGTGTCTGTAGATGGTCGCTAGTGTCTGTGGATGGTCGTTAGTGTCTGTAGATGGTCGCTAGTGTCTGTGGATGGTCGCTAGTGTCTGTGGATGGTCGTTAGTGTCTGTAGATGGTCGCTAGTGTCTGTAGATGGTCGCTAGTGTCTGTGGATGGTCGTTAGTGTCTGTGGATGGTCGCTAGTGTCTGTAGATGGTCGCTAGTGTCTGTAGATGGTCGTTAGTGTCTGTAGATGGTCGCTAGTGTCTGTGGATGGTCGCTAGTGTCTGTAGATGGTCGTTGGTGTCTGTGGATGGTCGCTAGTGTCTGTGGATGGTCGCTAGTGTCTGTAGATGGTCGTTTGTGTCTGTAGATGGTCGCTAGTGTCTGTGGATGGTCGCTAGTGTCTGTAGATGGTCGCTAGTGTCTGTGGATGGTCGCTAGTGTCTGTGGATGGTCGCTAGTGTCTGTGGATGGTCGCTAGTGTCTGTGGATGGTCGCTAGTGTCTGTGGATGGTCGTTATTGCCTGTGGATGGTCGTTATTGTCTGTGGATGGTCGTTATTGTCTGTGGATGGTCGTTAGTGTCTGTGGATGGTCGTTAGTGTCTGTATATGGTCGTTATTGTCTGTGGATGGTCGTTAGTGTCTGTGGATGGTCGTTATTGTCTGTAGATGGTCGCTAGTGTCTGTGGATGGTCGCTAGTGTGTGTGGATGGTCGCTAGTGTCTGTGTATGGTCGTTATTGTCTGTGGATGTACGTTAGTGTCTGTGGATGGTCGTTATTGTCTGTAGATGGTCGTTATTGTCTGTAGATTGTCGCTAGTGTCTGTGGATGGTCGCTAGTGTGTGTGGATGGTCGCTAGTGTCTGTGGATGGTCGCTAGTGTCTGTGGATGGTCGTTAGTGTCTGTGGATGGTCGTTATTGTCTGTAGATTGTCGCTAGTGTCTGTGGATGGTCGCTAGTGTGTGTGGATGGTCGCTAGTGTCTGTGGATGGTCGGAATTGTCTGTGGATGGTCGCTAGTGTCTGTGGATGGTCGCTAGTGTCTGTAGATGGTCGCTAGTGTCTGTGGATGGTCGTTATTGTCTGTGGATGGTCGTTAGTGTCTGTAGATTGTCGCTAGTGTCTGTGGATGGTCGCTAGTGTCTGTGGATGGTCGCTAGTGTCTGTAGATGGTCGCTAGTGTCTGTGGATGGTCGTTATTGTCTGTGGATGGTCGCTAGTGTCTGTGGATGGTCGCTAGTGTCTGTGGATGGTCGCTAGTGTCTGTCTCTAAATGTTCGCTAGTGTCTGTGGATGGTCGCTAGTGTCTGTGGATGGTCGCTAGTGTCTTTAGATGGTCGCTAGTGTCTGTCTGTAGATGGTCGCTAGTGTCTGTAGATGGTCGCTAGTGTCTGTCTGTAGATGGTCGCTAGTGTCTGTAGATGGTCGCTAGTGTCTGTGGATGGTCGCTAGTGTCTGTCTGTAGATGGTCGCTAGTGTCTGTGGATGGTCGCTAGTGTCTGTCTGTAGATGGTCGCTAGTGTCTGTAGATGGTCGCTAGTGTCTGTCTGTAGATGGTCGCTAGTGTCTGTAGATGGTCGCTAGTGTCTGACTGTAGATGGTCGCTAGTGTCTGTCTGTAGATGGTCGCTAGTGTCTGTCTGTAGATGGTCGCTAGTGTCTGTAGATGGTCGCTAGTGTCTGTCTGTAGATGGTCGCTAGTGTCTGTCTGTAGATGGTCGCTAGTGTCTGTCTGTAGATGGTCGCTAGTCTGTAGATGGTCGCTAGTGTCTGTGGATGGTCGTTATTGTCTGTGGATGGTCGCTAGTGTCTGTAGATGGTCGCTAGTGTCTGTCTGTAGATGGTCGCTAGTGTCTGTCTGTATATGGTCGCTAGTGTCTGTCTGTAGATGGTCGCTAGTGTCTGTCTGTAGATGGTCGCTAGTGTCTGTAGATGGTCGCTAGTGTCTGTCTGTAGATGGTCGCTAGTGTCTGTCTGTAGATGGTCGCTAGTGTCTGTCTGTAGATGGTCGCTAGTCTGTAGATGGTCGCGTTCACCGAAGAAATAATCTTAAATCAAAAATGTAGTCCCTTCCCACGGGAAATGCCGACAGAGATACAATTTTCTGTACGACTGGTGGCTGGTCGTGCTGGTCCTGCTGGTCCTGCTGGTCGTGCTGGTCCTGCTGTCCTGCTGGTCGTGCTGTCGTGTTGGTTCTGCTGTCCTTCTGGTCCTGCTGTCCTGCTGGTCGTGCTGTCCTGCTGGTCCTGCTGGTCCTGCTGTCCTGCTGGTCGTGCTGGTCGTGCTGGCCCTGCTGGTCGTGATGATTGTGCTGGTCCTGCTGGTCCTGCTGGTCCTGCTGGTAGTGCTGGTCCTGCTGGTCGTGCTGGTCCTGCTGTCCTGCCGGTCGTGCTGTCCTGCTGGTCCTGCTGTCCTGCTGGTCGTGCTGTCCTGCTGTTCCTGTGGGCTTGTGGCCATAGGTTCCAATCCGAATGAAGCTCGGATTCTTTTTTCTTTCTTTCTTTGTTTCTTTCTTTCTTTGTTTCTTTCTTTCTTTCTTTCTTTCTTTCTTTCTTTCTTTCTTTCTTTTTTTCTTTCTTTCTTTCTTTCTTTCTTTCTTTCTTTCTTTCTTTCTTTCTTTCTTTCTTTCTTTCTTTCTTTCTTTCTTCCTTTCTTTATTTCTTTATTTCTTTCTTTCTTTCTTTCTTTCTTGCGTTCTTTCTTTCTTTCTTTCCTTCTTTCTTTCTTTCCTTCTTTCTTTCTTTCTTTCTTTCTTTCTTTCTTTCTTTCTTTCTTTCTTTCTTTCTTTCTTTCTTTCTTTCTTTCTTTCTTTCTTTCTATCTTTCTTTCTTTTTTTCTTTTTTTCTTTCTTTCTTTCTTCTTCATCTTCTACTCTTTCTCTCCCTTCTCCTTTTCTTCTCCTCATCCTCGTCCTCATCCTCCTTTTTCTTCTTCTTCTCCACGTCCTTCTCC